TTTTTTTTTTTTTTTAATGTCCAAGATGACTGAATTTATCTGCTTCAAATGGTCAAGGTTTATAGTGCTTCCTTAAGCTGGGTTCTCTAAAGAAATAAAATCAGTGAAGTTTATATATGTATGAGTGCTTCAAAAGTTTCATGGAAAAATTCTACAATGTATTAATTCCATTTTCCATGAATTTTTCAAATGCCCCCTCATAAACTTTGGGATTTATCTCAAAGAAATGGCTCATGTAGTTGTGGCAAGCCAAGTCTGTGGGTCAGATGTCAGGTTGGAGACTTCTCCTGACTCACGTAGCTACAGGGCTAATGAACCCAAGATCAGTAAGTAAGATGTCTCAAGTCCCAACAACTAGAGGTCAAATGATGATGAGCCCAATGCTGAATGCAGAGTAAGTAAAAGACCAGAAAGCTGAGCCATAACATCCAGGTGTATGGGATACAGATTACATCTCCAAGGAAACGCCTTCTGAACTGATTATCTGCTCATAGTAGATTTCATCATGGAAGTGATTATATTATATTAGATCTCATCATGGAGAATGACTACATAATTACATAACTGCCACACTACATCATAAGTACCAAACCGAAGAATCAAGTTAACATGCAACCTTAACCATCACATATATACCCTGACTTGAGACAAATAGTAGTACACAAACGGGGTCACCATGAGTCAGAATTGATTTGTTAGTAACTAACAATCATGGTGGGGTCCTGGTGTGGTGCTGTGGGCTAATGCGCTGGACAGCAAAGTCATTCTGAACCACAAGGTTGACAGTTCAAGCTCACCAGACGTTCCTCAGAAACTCTATACAGGATTGCTAGGGTTGGAACTGATTCAACATTTAACAACAATGACAATAGTCAACAGAAGACAAGAGTTAAGAGGTATGGACACTCTGAATAGTGTTTTGGAGATGTACAAGGAGCTCTGGTGATTCAATGGGTAAGTACAAGGCTGCTGACCAAAAGGTTGGTGGTCCATCTTACCCAACTTCTCCATGGAAGAAAGCCCTGGCAATCTGTTTCTGTAAAGATTACACCCTACTATACGATATGGGGCAGTTCTACTCTGTTACATGGGGTCACTATAAATCAAAAGCCTCTATACACTGTACCTAACAACAATAAAGCTTCTGGGCTGACAATAATGATAATAATTTTCATTAACCTGAAGTTGGATCAAAAATCTTTTCTCATCTCCTTCCACCCTCTCCAGTCCAAATTGATAAAGAAAAATTTTTAACTTTTCATTGTGAATTGAGTGAAGGTTTATAGAGCAGATCATCTGTTTTACATTCAGTGATAAAGGATTTTTTTGTAAAGTCTTATATAGTCTGCATGTCATTACTAGGTGATGATAATAATTGTCTTTTTGTCCCAGGTCCTATCATTTGGGCAGAGGTGGGAGACACCATCAGAGTTACCTTCCATAACAAAGGCACATATCCCCTCAGCATTGAGCCAGTTGGAGTGAGAGTCACTAAGAAGAATGAGGGCACATACTATTCTCCACGTTTCAACTCCCCAAGTGGAAGTGAGTACAGCTTTGTGTTTATGAATCAATAATATTTAATAATTCACTTTGCTGGTCACCCTCCCCCCAAAAAACTATCCTGTACAAATGAACACAGCAAGAATTTGAGAAGAAAGGGTTCAGCTATTCTCCTCTGGCATCATGCCAGGAAATAAACTCCATCTCCTTCCATTGCCAGTTTTTTACCAAATTTTGTCCTGACTTAACTATATGATTACTGGCAATGCTGATAGTGACACATTTGAATTGTATTGATTATATATTACTAGAGTATGATTTGGTCACAATTTATAAAAATAGTTTTATAATTATAAAAGGATGAAATGTTCCTCTTTTAAATAGGAACATTTAATACTAAATATTTATTATCTACAGTTCTATAGACAACCACTGTTCTATTTTTGCAACTTCCTTCTATGCTTTCGTCTAAGCATATATAATTCATATTTTAAATGTGGTTGAAACCTAGCCTTATCATTATGATTTTGTACCGAGATTTAATTTTTTTTAGCATTATAAACATTTTATTAATATATTTTAATGATGCTAAATATTCCATCGTGGATATATTTGGGTATTTTTATGTATCAAGAATGGGCAATGAAGAACAAGATTCCAAAACCTGTGATCTTGAGCAGGTTACTCTGTCTCTCCAGCTTTCATTTCCTCAAGTGTAAGATTGGGAGGTTAAACAGGATCATCTACAATGCTCCTTTTAGTCCTAAAATGATTTTCACTTTAGTTTTGCTTAATAAAAATGTATTGATTACCCTCTATAGCCAGGCATTGTTCTAGCTGCTAGAAATATAACAGAAATACAGAGACAATGCTTGCCTTCAAGAAGGTTAATTTCCACTAGAGGAGGAATACATACAATATAACACGAAATGTGCTGGGGGCTCATCAGGCACATGGGAGCACTGAGAGGAGCAATCCCAGACAAAGGTTTAGAGGATGCTTCCTTCTGGGAGCGGTCACATGAACACATGGAGGATTCCATTCTAATTCAAAACAAAGAATTTAGAAGTGAATTAGAATAGACTAAGCCCAGTTTGGAGTCTAGTGTGGCGCTGTGGGTTAATGCACCAGATGGCAAAGCCCTTTGAACTGCAAAGTCGGTGGTTCAAGCTCACCAGTCAGTCCTCAGAAACCCTATACAGGGCTGTTAAAGGGTCAGAACTGACTCGACAGCACTTAACAACAACAACAACAACCAGCCCATTTTACTTTGCAGCTCAAATGACCACATTAGAAAATATACTAAATCTCTTCAATGTAACTTTTCTCACAGATATGCCTCCTCTTCCTGCCTCCCATGTGGCACCCAAAGAAACATTCACCTATGAATGGACTGTACCAGTAGAAGTAGGGCCCACTTATGCGGACCCTGTCTGTCTTTCTAAAATGTATTATTCATCTGTGGATCCCACGAAAGATATATTCACTGGGCTTATTGGGCCAATGAAAATATGCAAGAAAGGAAGTTTACATGAAAATGGGAAACAGGTAAATCCAATCAAGGAAAAACAAAAGATCTTGCCAAACTCTGAATTATCACCATCATAAGGAATATTCTGGGGTTTGAGTCAGTGAAGATAGTATAAATAAGAAAATGTATTATAAAAATTATTCAGACTTATAATGGGATTATGTAGAAATAACCTGGCTAATATGAATATCTGAAGATGAGCTGGAAAAACAGATTTGTCATGAAATACAAGGTTTTTTATGAAACAATAGACTATAATACACATAAAAATCAGCTGCTAATGAGTATAATCTAATTAACATTCACTGAGTAAAATAGTGCTTAAGATTTTTTTTTAGAAATGAGGAAATTACCCTTTGACTTAGAAATGCTGTTGTTGCTGTCATCCAGTTGGTTCCAACTCAAAGCAATCCTGCAAAGGGTTTCCAAGGAGCAGCTGGTGAGTTTTAACTGCCAAACTTGTGGCTAGTCATCCAGTGCTTATCCTATAGTAAGCACCAAGACTGTACTGACCTAGAAATAGAAATACCTAAGCCAATCATCACCACTCATCTGTCAGTTTGTTGTACTGTGGTAGATTGTTTGTTAGTGTGATGCTGGAATCTATGCTGTCACTATTTTAAATACTAGTCGGGTCACCCATGGTTGACAAGTTTCAGCAGAGCTTCCAGATTAAGACAAACTAGGAAGGAAGGGCGGACCACTTCTCAATGGTTAGCCACTAAGAACCTTATGAAAAGCAACTGAACATTGTCATATATAATGCAAGAAGATGATCTTCTCAGGCTAGAAGGCACTAGAAACAGAAGACTTTCATTTGCTGATATGGCACAACTCAAAATGGGAAGAAACAGTTACAAGCATCTGTTAGTAATCAAAACATAGAATGTAAAAAGTATGAATCTAAGAAAATTGTTGTTGTTGTTGTTGTTAGGTGCCATTGAGTCTGTACCAACGCAGAGCGACCATATGTACAACAGAACACTGCCTGATCCTGGGCCAACCTCACTATTGTTGCCATGCTTGAACCCACTGATATTGCCACTTGGCCAATCCATCTCGTTGGGGGTCTTCCTCTTTTCTATGACCCTTCACCTTACCAAACATGACATCCTTCTCTAGCAACTGGTCCCTCCTGACAATATGTCCAAAGTATGAGAGACGAAGTTTGTTCATCTTGGCCTCCAAGGAGCACTCTGGCTGCACTTCTTCCAACACAGATCTGTTGGTTCCTTTGGCAGCCCATG